TTTATGGTTGCTAAACAGCTATTTTTTTAAAGAATTATTTTATTTAACTTTATTTATTATTATTATCATTATTATTTTCCAGTTTGGTCAGAGAGAGAGAGAAAGTGAGAAAGCAAGCCACCAGGTCCAAGACTTGAACTGTGGGACTTGAACTGTGGTCGGCCATGTGGGAGTCCAGCACCTTTAACCACCACGCCACTTGCCGGCCCCTACTAAACAGCTATTTTTTAAGAATTATTTTATTGAACTTTATTTTATTTTATTTTATTTTATGTATTTAATTTGATCAGAGAGGAACAGAATGAGAGAGAAAGTGAGAAAGCAAGTCGCAAGCTGCCAGGTCCAGGACTCAAATTGCAGTCAGCCATACAGGAATCCAGCGCACTTCACCACAATGCCACCTGCCAGCCTTAGTCTAAACAGCTATTGTTAAAAATGAAATGACATAAACTTAATTGAACAATTAATCATTCCATTTTAAAGGCAACATATACTCAAAAATCATTACTTCCTCATTATTTTACTGCATTTCACTATTGCTTATGTTCTTGAGGTTACTTAGCCCTATTTATCTGTGTGGTAGAAATAGTATATAACAGTGCACTCTCGCATCGCTTCCAAACTCCGTGTTATTATTCCGAACCCCGTTAGTTATTTACCCGCACACCACTCGGAGCACTCAGAACAGTTGAAGGCTGTAAGAAATGTTCCCATTATTATGCTTGTGCACTGGGGTGCGATGTAACCACTGTGTGGGGGGCTGGGGTGGGGGAGGAAGCGGAGTTTAAAATATTTTTAAAACAGAGAATTATGAAGGGCCAGACCGTGCCAAGCTACACCTATTTAACCCTCCCAATAATGCCGTAAAGTCTCCCCTATTCATTCCCTCCACTTTACGGACAGTGAAACTGAAGCTCTGACACAGTAAAATACAAGCAGTGGTACCATTGAGTGGAATTGGGGTTCAAAGTTGTAGCACAGCAACTTCCGCGCGCTCGTGCACTTAACGAGGCACTTTCTTTTTTTTTTTTTTTTTTTCTCTCTCTTTCATGCCCCAGCGGTAAATTTCGCTCAGCAGCCCGCGTAAAACGAATGGACGCTTATCGTGTTAGTTGCATCTTGGGAAATGTAGTCCCCACGCTCAACGGCCGATCAGGTCCAAGAATGGAGGGGCGAGGGAGAACATCGATCTTGGCCTTGAAACAAAAGAACAAAGAACTAGTTCCTGTGCGTCGCGACGTTTCGGTCACGCAGAGCGTGAGTTCAGCCGCTTTGGTCGTGCCTGCTGCATGCTGGGAACGGCAGCTTGCGTGACCCGGCTACGTCGACACAAGATGACGGAACTCACGTGTTACGTTCCGGTCGGGTCCTGCCCTCGCCGGAGCCTAGGCGTCCCGCGATGCCGACCTTGTCTCCGCGCAATAACCCTTAGGCATGCAAGACGGGCATTCGGGTCGGCTACCAACACACACTGAAGCCCTGCGATTTCTCACCGGTTGGCGCTCTCGCCACGTCTCACCTGCTCGCGGACCACCCTCCTTCCGCAAAGCTAAGGTAGGCCCTGGGGCGCCAAGGTCTTGGGGGTCTGAGGCTGTTGAGGCACGCCTGCGCTGTCTTGCCAA